TGATGTGTACTGATGAGTCCATCTGCAGATGCTGAATTAAACTTTCAGAAAGAAGTGTTTGACTTTGTGCTTGTTTCACAGAAATTGCCACCACAGTGTCCTGCTCTCAGAAAAGACAACTCAAGGCTCTTTAAAAAAAAAAAATCTTTCTGTTTTTTGCTTGCTGCCACACATGGATATTTTACATAACCATAGCACAACCCCTCGAAGAATGCATGCCTGCATTCTTTAATAATAATTTTAGCGTTCTGCAGCATGCTGCTGCTATAGACATTTCACTTAACATTAGTATGACCTCTTGCAGAACGCATGCCTGCATTCTTTAGATCATTTCAGAGGTCAGCAGCATGCTTGCTGCTGCACTTACTCTCATCACATAATAGTAGTATACCCTTTCACAGGATGCATGCTTGCATTCCTTAGACAACAATTTCTCAGCTAATCCAGAGAACATCCAAAGAATTTCAGCGCCAATCATAACTGTATCCCCATTTGCAACTATTGGGTTAATCATGACAAAGTGTTCCTGACTGAACTAAGAGAAATGGAAAAATTATTATTTCTTTTTGGAAGTGAAAAACAAAGCTAGTGTGTAGTTTGTGGACCCTAACCCTTTCTGACTGTTTTTAGATATCTTGGTAATGCATGAAAAGAGGAAAGAGGCAATCAGTAGATTCTTACCATTGAAGAAAGTAAAGGCTCAGTTCCATCCTTTTGTCTGTCCCATAGCTCAAAGCCTTCCTTGAACACACATAAGGTAAACAGTATAACTACACATACCATATAGGAAAAGCATTTCATTGTGTCTATAGCTAATGGAGGAGGTGCATGTGTGAATGCAAACGTCTGAGGATGGCGCTCCGTTGTTTCTACTGACTTTATCTGCCTGACATCGTGGCATAAAGTCTGAAGAAATCCAGAAGTCAATGTACAAACAGCAGGGAATCACTGTAAGCGACTGGCAGGGTTAAAGAATATGGATACATAAAATTATATATCATTGGAAATGAAAATATGCTTCT